ATTACAATTTTAACATGCAGAGAGAATGTAAATATCAGCTTACTATGATATAATAATACAGATTACATGGTACATAAAGACGCGATACATATGAATGGGAATTTTTTTTTTTTAAATTTAGAATCTAAAACTAAATTAATACTAGAGAACTAAACTATGTACAGAAGAATTCTACACGGCTGATCAATCAATCGCTGATAACATCACTTTTTCAATTTTTCACTGTCTTCCTGCTCATCTTGTCTGTTCTTGTTTTCATTTTCATGAATTTTTTCTTTCCTGTGGAAGTCTGACAGAAGAGCCTGGTGCTTTCAATAAACCTTTCAAAACACTTCCAGAGTTTTTTTTTATCAAAAATGTTTTGTAGTGTTGGTGGCCAATTATGACCTTTTTGAAGGCATTCCCTATAGAATGGAATGCGTTGATCCTCATATCGTTCACAGTGAAATATAAAATGAATGGCATCTCCTACACTATTATTGTCGCACCAGCATTTATTAGTGTTTCTCTTTTTAAAGCGATAGAGGTAGGCCATAAAATTGTTGTGCCATTGGGTTAAACATTGGGTGGTTTCAGATCTAGGTTTTTAGTAATTAGCCTTGATGCGATTAGTAATAGAGGGAATAAACTGGTGGCAATGTCTCCTCGTTGTAGAATTATTCCAATTTTCCTGTCATTCAAGTAATGCCCATTCGTTTAAGGAATTTTTCAGTGTTGATTTTGGTAACCTGGTATATGTATTCTGTGTCTTGAGAGTACCAGTTATTTTGGCCAAAGAATCGGCCAGTTCGTTTCCTTTATGACCTTTATGAGCTGGTATCCAACTGAATTGAATATTGCGGGTAGTACTGTGCTCCTTTAATAACTTTTTTGCCCAGTAGCGTGATGTTTTCAGTTTTTACCAACACATGAAGAACCACCTTACTGTCAATAAGGAATTTTATGTTACCCTTGTATTTATTTAAGTTATCTTTAATTTGGGTGATTGCTTTGTACATGGCCCATAGTTCAGCTTGTGTAGTGCTGCAATGTTTAGCAAGTTTTAATCTGGCCTGATATATTGTCCTGTTGTTGTTTTTTGAATGCACACACCAGCTCCCACTCCGCACTCTTGCTTAGAACCATCTCTGTACACTATCCACTGAAAGTATCTGTTTGTTTCGGGATTATAATTGAAACTTATTTCGTAGCTGTGCATGTGTGCTGGGTGTAGTTGGAGGCATATATCATTACTAGTTCTATCAATTTCATATTTTTTAATAATATCAGGTATATTCCAGTAGCTGTTTGGAATCATTTTATTTTTAATACGTTTTACAATATCCTCCTGTGTGTAACTGTGTAGCCGAATATTAGTGCAGAGCCAATTCCAAACTGTTTTTCTTGCCGTGATATGTATTGGCATTAGTCTAGCCAGTACCAGTATTGCATCTGTCAGAGCTGTTCGATAAGCATGAGTAATCCTTATTGCTCATGCTTATCGAAATTGGATCATTCTGAGTATTATGCAATTGAAGGCCAAACAGTTGCTGATGTATACGCTAATCAATCTGTTTTGGTAACCCTAGAAGAAATGTTAATTTTGATGAAAAGTCAGCGAGAGGAAAGATTGGCACAAGGAGGTACTGTCAGGAAAAGCCACCCAGAGTACACGCAGGACTTCATAGACTGGTTGGAAGAACCAAAAGAATCTATGTTGGAAGAGTCCCGCTGGAGAAAAGACAGGCAACAAGGAGAGCACAAAGAATCAGATTTGAGGGTGAAGAAAAGAATTTTAATATAAGGGATTTTTACTACTCTCAACTGCTATTGCATACCAGGTTCAAAAGGTAGACCCAGACTATATTTCCAAAATTAAAAATAGTCCCAATCCAATTGTGCAGACAGCTATAAAAGAGGCTGAAATCTTAATAGCAGGACTAGATGACCAAAAGGCAAGCCTGTTTCAGCAACAAATAGCGTCAACAGATAATTTTCAACTCATATTACTGGCTAAGAAAACTTGGTGAGGTAAACAGGAATGGTTTCAAGGTAATAAATAAATTCATGTTCATTATTGGCTCGAACCCCATAGGCACAGAGTAGTTATTGCTTTTACCCTTTCTAGATCCTGTGCGTGTCGTCCAGAGCCACAACTTGTCCGAGGTATAGAATGCGCTGTCTGGTGAACTGACATTTGTCAGCATTTACCATTGGTCCAGCTCCCCTTAAGGCTTCTAACACAGCTTTGATATGGGTCAGATGTTTCCTAATACCGCGAGTATATACTCGCGGTATTAGGAAACATCTGAATATTGTAATATATTGTCAATATTGTCAATATTGACAATATATTGACAATATAGACAATATAGCATATAAATAACATGAACATAAAGCCCGATTGGTATACATATAAAACTTCCAAACGATCCAAATTCTCGTAACTAAATTCCAAATTCTCGTAACTAAATTTCCAAATTCTCGTAACTAAATTATTAATTTAGTTACGAGATGGCGCCTAACGCCTACCTCTTAAGACAAATTGCTTTGGTTCTAATCATTTTAAATAGCCATATTATAGCCCGTTATTCAGGCGATTGTTTGGAAGTTTTATAAATATAGCATATATTGACAATATATGCTATAATTTGACAATAATATATTGACAATATTGACAATATAGCATATATTGACAATATTGGCCATATTGAGCATATATTGACAATATATGCTATAATTTGACAATAATATATTGACAATATTGACAATATAGCATATATTGACAATATTGGCCATATTGTCAATATATGCTATGGTGAAATTTTTGAAAGGGGCCAATACCAAATCCATTATCCTTTGGAAGGTTGCAGCTGCGTTCTTCAATCTAAAGGGCATTACTTCTCATTTAAATTGACCATGATGAGTGACAAATGCCATGAGATGTTTGCTTTCCACCTCTAACAGTACTTGCCAGTACTCCTACAAGAGATCCAGTAAGGTTATGTATCTGGCCTCGGATAACTGATAGACTTAATTCAGTGGAGGGCACTATTGGATAACGGTCCAGTAGTGTAGCATAGTTCAAGTGCCGATAATTGATGTATAACCACATTCTACCTCCCTTTTTGGCTACAGAGACTATGGGGTGAGCGCATTCTGATTTGCTTGGTCGGATTAGCCCTGCATCTAACAGTTCACTTATGGTCTCATTGACCTTATTCCATAATGCCTGCAGAATTTGATACGGGATGAACCATTTTGGAGTCCATCCCACCGTAAGAGTTATCTTATGCATCATGATGCCTATCTTTCCTGGCTTACTCCTGAATATCGAGTGTTATTAACTTAGCACCTTGTGCAGTCCAATACGTGCTGATGCTGGGAGATATGGAGGGATCTCCCTAATTTCCTCGTCCTTCCATCCACGATCATGTAACTGCCACGTTGAAGGTGTTTCCACCAATTCCCCAAAGCTTGCTTTTGAATCAAATACTACTCTGACAGCACAAATTTGCCTTTGATATTTTCTGAGTCTGTCTATGTGGATCCAATTTGTCCTACTATCCTCTAACTTTATTGCAGCGGTTCCCAACCTTTTTTGGACCAGGGACCACTTTGATTTCATTGTTGTTATCAGGGACCACAAGGTTTTAATAAAAATAAATTGTGTCAATCTAAAAGTAAACTTTAATCAAAACTTTTAACATAAGTAGAGAGGTTGCGGCGCAAGTTTAAACGTTACTTGTACTGTACATGGCAAGCAGAAGTACATGGTTTATGTGTTAACTCCAAAAAAAAAAATTGTTGCAGCGAATGTTCACAACATCACGTGACTCAGTGAATGTCATATATTGACTCACGAGAAATTTGTTGAAAAAATGGCAGATACATTTAGGTTGGTTGGTTGGTTGGTTAACTTTTATTGGCACAAAAGCCATACAGGCTATACTGCGCCACAACACATGGTGCAATTCGAAGTAGAAAATAAATAGGAAGACATATATACACATAAACAAAACATCACAGTTTAACCATTGAACAGCCAATGGTAATATAAATATAAAATCTATAATATAATAAAAAAATTAGTATCAACAAGANTACTATAATTAAAATTCATATTTATAAATGAGAACATGATCATACTAAAAATATTTGTGTGTATGGGGTGAGTCTTTTAATAATAATTTTAGAATATTAATGCTTATTCATTAAATTAAATTTTGAAAAGAATTTCAAAGTAAAAAAATAACATTTTTATGATTGTAATTGGTTCAATTTCAGTTACCCAACCCATAAATATTTATTTAAAATAATCATTAACCTTTTAAATCTTACAGAATTTTTGATAACATCTATTAACTTACTTTTATTATTCGATTTAACAAGTTAATGGCACAAAAAGAGAATAGCCTGCTCAAAGAATTAACAAAGTCAGACCAGCCACTAATTGGATTGAGGACAATGAGGTAATTTAATATTTAATTAAGATTATTTGTATTTTTATAAAATACTGTATTAAAAAAAACTACAGTATGTATATATTATTCAAAGATTATCCTTAGTAAAAATCGATAATCTAGAATGCCAGAGTTGTTTCACAATAATACTTTCTAATAAATTTTTCAACATAAAAATATCATCATCATTCTGTGTGTGTTACACCAACCAATGCCGAATTAACGGGCTGGAAACAGCTATAATGATAATATAATCTGATACTAGAGTTAGGCATTATCTCTTGCTAAATTAAATAATTTTAGAACTAACTGGAATAAAAGAATCAGCCCGGAATGGGGTTCGAACCCGCAACTCCTGCATACAGTGCAGATGCATTGCCAATTACACTACCCGGTCTTCCATCCAATCTCCTCTTCCAGTATATATAAGCTTACGCTAGGACCATCAACGGCCATTACAATGCTGGCTGGATTAGCTGTTGACTTTGTTTATATATATATATACAGTAGAGATGTGTCCTGAGAAGACAGTGTTTTCAAACAATCAGTCTTAACCACATGACGATACAACAAAGAATCTCGCAAATTGCATCAGACATTTCTGGCCAACTTAATATTTTAGTTGCAAACTGTGCTTATTTTTCTTTGGCTGTGGAAGAATCCACTGACATATCATCAACAACACAAGTGATTGTGTTTATTAAAAGTGTTTCACTAGATTTTATTGTGAATGAAGAATTTCTTGGCATGGCATCACTTTCTGGACATACAACTGGTGCTGACTTATTTACTAGTTTATTGAGCGTTTGCAACAAATCAGCACTGGACTTTGACAAGCTATCCAGCATTGCCACCGATGGAGCACCATCTATGGTTGGATGTGAGAATGGCATGGTCACCTTGCTGAAAAACCACCTTGGGGACAGGCAAAAGGAGTTAGTCCAGTATCATTGCATAATTCACCAACAGCAACTTTGTGCAAAGAAGCTGGGATTTGAACGTCTGCTGAAAGATGTATATGATACTGTGAACTTAATCCGCCGTCATGGACTCAACCATCGACTCTTCACATCATTTCTTGAAGAAATAGATGCTGATTATGCTGACCTGCCCACGTATACTGAAGTTTGTTGGCTGAGCAAGGCAGCAGTCCTCAAGAGATTTGTGGAGCTATTGGGGCCTATTATCACTTTCCTCTAATAACGGGGGAACACTACAAGGAATTTGGAGGAACAAAGATGGCAGTGTGATTTAGCTTTCCTTGCTGACATTACTTCTTATCTAAACGACCTTAATTTGAGATTGCAGGAAAAGATGCAACTTGTTTCTCAGTTGACAAGTAACATCAATGCATTTATGACCAAACTATCACTTTTCAAGTCTCACATGCAATCAGAGAACTTTACACACTTTCCACATTGCAAGGCCATGAAAGAGAAATACCCACATATGAAGATGGATTACTCTGACCAAGTTAACACCCTCCTTACATCATTCAATGAGAGGTTTGGTGAATTCCAGAAATACAAGATCTACCTGCAACTTTTTTCAACTCCATTTGATGTGAAAGTGGAAGATACCCCTCCAGATGTCCAACTTGAGTTGATAAACATCCAGTGCAGTGATGAATTGAAATCACAGTTTAAAAATTCTAATCTCCTCACATTCTACAAAGAACTGCCTGATACATCATTTCCAAAACTGAAAGACAATGCTCAATTTTGTGCAAGCATGTTTGGCAGTACCTTCCGTGTTTTCCCGAAAATAAAACACTGTCTTATATTAATTTTTGCTCTGAAAGATGCACTAGGTCTTATTTTCAAAGGATGTCTTATTTTTCCATGAAGAAGAATTAACATTTACTATTGAACAAAAAAATTCCCAAGTCAAACTTAGACAAGAGTGACGTATATCCAGTCATGTTGAACTGAACTTAAATGAAACCAAAGTGAACTTACAAACTTCTGTTGGAGTGGACTCCCCACTCTTGCTTCAACTTAACCTTTTTATAGCGTCTACATTAAGCTCGATGACCAATTACTGCTTACTGAACCATAACACTATGCAAATGTGATGTGGCGTGATTCCCGGCCGACCAATTAGTGATCAACAGCCATAACATTATGCAAATCTGTAATTCCAAGCCATAGTCTTATGCAAATCATGCCGTGTGGCATGTTGTCTGCTGACCAATCAGTGGCTGTACTTTCAAAAAGCCAACGGCCACTTTCAACATCTGCCATTACGCTAGACATCAAGAAGATTGCCGCTAGCATCCAATCTCAGCCATTGCATTAATCACTTGGAGGTCCGGCCCCCAGTCAGTAAACTTAATCCTAATTTGGCCCTTCTTCAGAAAAGGTTGTGCATCCCTGGTTAATTGTTAATTAACTACATGTTTTTATATACAACAGTGTCGAAAACAAAATCAATATAAAAATGGCGACTAGGATTAAGGTAAAGACTTACCAGCGGAAATTACAATTCGAGATCAAAAGCCAGAACTGTCGATCCCAGGAACATCAGCCAGTGCAGTTCGTTTCGAGCCATTCAGGGTGGACAGCCAGTGGAAAACTTACAAAGACCGCTTTAATTTTTACTTGAAGGCAAACCAGATTAAAAATGACCAAGATAAGTGTGCTTTATTTTTTACCGTGTGCCATGAAACTCTATATGAACTTGTAGTAACACTCATAGCCCCGAAAGAAACTACACCGTTAGTTGGTTGGTTAACTTTTATTGGCACAAAAGCCATACAGGCTATACTGCGCCACAACACATGGTGCAATTCGAAGTAAAAAATAAATAGGAAGACATATATACACATAAATGAAACATCACAGTTTAACCATTAAACAGCCAATAGCAATATACATATAAAATCTAGAATATAATGAATAAACAAGTAACAACAAAAATAAATAAACAAACAACAACAAAATATATATACAATAATTTAAATATGCAACTCAACGTAAATAAAACTGTACAATAATTAATTCATCAGATTTCCCTATACATAATGACTTTTAAAAAATCCAGTATATTATCCAGATTTGGCTTCTGGCCCAAAATGTTTCTAAAACTTGCATTTCCGAAATGCTGTCTACGAATCTGATCAAAAGCAACACAGTTGCAAAATATGTGTTTAACACTTACAGCACAGTTGCAGTGCTGACATACTGGTTTGTCATCTCCCTTCAAAAGGTATTGATGAGTCAGTCGAGTGTGACCAATTCTCAGACGAGGAAGGATAACCTCAGATCTCCTATCATATTGCCTATTATGTGTCCAATTTTCTACCAAACGTTTGATCTCGTAAAGTTTATTGTGGATTTGTGCATTCCACATAATTTGCCATCTCTCGGCTAGTCGTTTTTTAACAACTAGCTTCAAATCACATCCTTCAATATGCATTGTATGCTGTGAAGGGCTTGCTGACTTAGCAGCTGTATCAGCTTCTTCATTACCTCTTATACCCACGTGGCCTGGGATCCAACAGAACTTCACAAATAAATTTCTTGTAGTGAGATGACAAATTAGTTTCTGAATTTTAGTAACTATGGAGTTTGAACAAGGTTCATAAGAGATCAGAGCCTGAAGTGCACTAACTGAGTCAGTGTAAATCACGCAACAACGATGACCTTTCTGATTTATATGCTTTAAGGCTAAGTAAATAGCCTGCAACTCCGCAGAAAAGATGGAAGAATTCGGTGCTATTTGTTCTGCCACAATTTCATCCTGGCAAACAAAGGCTAAGCCAACATAGTTATCCGACTTAGATCCATCGGTGTATATAGGAATTAAATTCCTGTTACAATGCTGAATTTCTGCGAAGTGCTGTCTATAGACGTAGTCTGGCGTGGTTTCTTTAGGGAACTGCTTTAAGCTTAAATCAACATCTATCGCTGGAATTGACCAAGGTGAAATACTATTAACCTCAACATGTGAGATGTTGCTTGTGTCTAGGTCAATTGTGCTGCTTACATTCTCCATTCTTATGTCGAATGTGGGGACAACTCGTCCAAGCAGCAAATAATCTTTTCAGCTGAGTATCTGGACGATCAGCTGTAAGTTTTTTCTGAGATTTTTGTTTAATGTAATAGAAGAGAGACAACTGTTCTCTCCTGAGAGATAGTGAAGGCTCATAAGCATCCACATACAAACTTTGAACAGGGGAAGTTGGAAATGCACCAATGCACAAACGCAAAGCTTGATGATGGATTGGATCCAGCATCCGAAGAGTAGATTCTCGCGCAGAGCCATAAACAATGCACCCGTAGTCCAGCTTAGAGCGAACAAGGGCCCTATAAATCCTGAGCATCGAAACTTTGTCTGCTCCCCAGGATGAGCAGCATAGTACCTTTAAAAGGTTTAAAGATTTTAAACATCTACTCTTCAGGTTGCGCAAGTGTGGCAAAAATGTCAGTTTATTATCGAAAGAAACACCCAAAAACTTAGTCTCATTCACCATTGGGATTTTATCCCCGTTTAGGTAAATTTCCGGATCCAAATGCAAACCACGCCTTCGACAAAAGTGGATGCACGAGGTCTTTTCCGTGTTAAAACTAAAACCATTAGTCTTGGACCAATGGTCTATGCGATTTAAGGAGGTTTGTAGTTGTCTCTCGATAAAACTCATGTTGCTAGACTGGCAGGAGATCTGAAAGTCATCCACATACAAAGAGTGTTTCACACTAGGGGGAAGACAGTTAGCTATGCTATTAATTTTAATTAAAAACAAAGTCACACTCAAAATAGAGCCTTGAGGAACACCTTCTTGTTGCGTGAAAGGCCTAGATAAAGTGTTGCCCATCCTGACTTGAAATCTTCGATTCTCTAAGAAGTTTTTTATGAAAATTGGCAAATTACCCCGAAATCCGAAATGGTCCAGATCACGGAGTATCCCGTATCGCCAACAGCGATCATAGGCCTTCTCTATATCAAAAAACACAGACACTAATTGTTGTCGTCTAACAAACGCTTCACGTATACTTGTTTCAAGGTTTACTAAGTTATCAGTGGTACTTCTGTTCCTATGAAAACCACTTTGATGTGGTGAAAAGTATTCATTTTTCTCTAAGAGATACATCAGACGTCTGTTTACCATCCTCTCAAAGAGTTTACAGAGACAACTTGTCATAGAGATTGGTCTATAATTTGAGGGATTCTTGTGGTCTTTACCAGGCTTCGGAATGGGAATAATGATCGATAGCCTCCAAGAGTCAGGAAAAGTATGTTCTCTCCATATTCTGTTAAACAGACAAAGCAGATTATAAAGGGAATTGTTTGACAGATTTTTAATCATGCTGTAGTAAATTTTATCCTGGCCTACAGCACTATTCCCCGAGCGAGAGATCGCTGTATGTAGTTCTATTTTAGTAAATGGCATATTATATTCTTCATTAGATGAAGAATGGAAAAAAACTACACAAGTTAACTTCAATGAAGTACTTAACGCTCTTGATAGTCATTTTAACCCAAAACCCAGTGAAATCGTTGAATCGTTCAAATTTAACCACAGGTCGCAAAACCAAAAGAGTATCAACGACTATGTCGTAGAACTACGGAAAATTGCAATAAATTGCAACTTCGGTGTCTCACTAGAGCGTACATTAAGAGATAGGCTAGTGACGGGTTTAAGGGATAAAGGAATACAACACGTGTTATTGGCAAAAATAGACACTACTTATAAGGCCATTTTGGATGAAGCATTGGCAGCAGAGGTAGCATCTAAAGATGTTAGCCAGCATGGGTCAGATGGAAACAACACCCAAGTGTATAACTTAAAGGCGGATTACAAGAGAAAGAATGAGTCGGCTATATTATGCTGTTTTTGGTGCACCGGAAGTCATAACCCAAATAATTGCAGATTTGCTCAGGTAATCCGTAATTTCTGCGGAAACAAGGGACACACAGAAAAAGCATGTATCACAAAACATAACAGTGGACAAAGAAAAATTCCACACCAAAGAAGAAACCAAATTGGGTTACAACGGAAAGAGGTATCCAGCCAGAAAGCCAAAGTACACTGAATTGAGAAACAAAAATTTAACATCGAATCTGTTAGGAATGTGGCTGTTACGTGTGAAAAAGTTTATCTCCTGGTCCTCTGACAGGTATAGTGTGACATACGAGGGCACTGTTTATTTGTTCTAGTTGACAATGACCCTCTAAGTTATTACTGCTTCTGTAACATG